TTTTAAAAGTTTCCATAACGTACTTCGACTCATTTCTGGGTAATCCTTATCATCTCGAACTGAGACAAGAACTTTATCCAATGTTGGAAATTCTTGTCTAAAGAAGAATTCATGCACTTTCCGTCGAAGTCCTTCTTTAAAATGATATTCTATTTGAAATTTTGGTTTCCCTGGAGCATTACGTGGCATTTGAAAACTACCACATTTCTCTTCTTTAATAACTCTGTAAATCGTAGATTTCCCAACACCAAGTGTACTGCTAACTAACTCAACGGTCTCATCAACACTTTCACATAAACGTTTGTCTGTAAATGATTTAAAACAATTAAATATTAATGTTTTTTCATTAACTGTTAAAGGACCAATTTTTCGGCGTTTACGCGGCGCTTCCAAATTTTCCATAACACTAGTATACACAATAAACTGCACCTTGCAACTGAAGTACCTACTTTTAGTGAACTGTTAAGAATTTTGAATACGCCACTTGGACCTTCCTACAAAATGGAAAAACCCACTATCACATTTTCTGTGGAATAAGTTTAGAAGGTAATTATCTAGTCAATTACTGTCGTAGATTCCTGGAATTAAAGAATTAAATGTTTGATTGTTGAAACCCTTACTTCGTGGAATGCACTCATTTCAGATAAAATAAAACGTTTTATTTTATCTAAAGAATTAAACTTTATTTTGCAAATAGGTAGGTACTTATTAAACTTTTATTGGTTATATATAACCAATAAAATAAACGTCTTACATTTCTTGCAAATTCATTAGTACCTGTTAACCTCCATCACTCCAACACTGGCAACCTTATTTAGGGATTAGTAACCCTCACAACTATTGTATTCTATTCTGCTCCAACCTTTATACCTGGTGGACATATTCAATTTAAAATTGTTTTCCTATATACTTCTGTAAACTTGTTGACAAATATCTGTTTTCATTGAGTCACCCGTATCAACAGTTTAGGGATTTGCATACATAATTTATTGTTTTATTACTCTCTCATACATAAAAATACACTATAGTCGTTGAGTTCCGTCGGTGTTAAATAGCTTTATGAGTTCAGCATAAGCATTGCCAGGTCCAGGAGCTTTGCCATCTTTTAGTTGTGATATTGCTTTTTCCACTTCATCCGATGTGATTGGTAAGTGGTCATTACATATGTAGGACGGAAGTTGTTCGGACCCTTCTTGTATGTATTTGGCCCATATGCATATTTCTTAATTTTGTTCTGTGATGATGTTCCCCTGTTGATCTTGCAGTTTGCTAGCTGTGTTGTATCTTTGAAGACAAGTTGTTTGTTTTACCTTTTTATGCATATTAAATGCATCGTGTTTTTTATCTCTTCACACTGTATTTTTAAATAATTTTCTTTGGACTTTCGTATTTCGGTTCTTATTTGTCTCTGAATATTTTTGTACATTCTTATGTTATTCTTTGATTTTCTTCTTTCTTCCATAATTTGCAGTATATTGTCATTCATCCAACTTTTTCTTTTATCTAGTTTTCTATGAGATGTTCTTCTCTGATCTTGTTAAAGGTTTCACATATATTCTGGAATGATTTTTCTGGATCATATGTTTGCTCCATGTTGCGTATCTTTTCTGAAAGAATCCGTGTGACTGTCTCCTTTGTTTCCTTATCTTTTAGTCTTGTCATGTTACTATTCTTTTTTGTAACCTTTTTAAATCTAAACCTAAATTTGACAATAACAGGAATATGATTTGACGATAAGTCAGCACCGGGATAACTTTTAACGGATAGGCATCTATTACGTAATCTCTTGTTCACCGATATCTATAGTGTATTTTTATGTATGAGAGAGTAATAAAACAATAAATTATGTATGCAAATCCCTAAACTATTGATACGGGTGACTCAATGAAAAACAGATATTTGTCAACAAGTTTATAGAAGTATATAGGAAAACAATTTTAAATTGAGTATGACCACCAGGTATAAAGGTTGGAGCAGAATAGAATACAATAGTTGTGAGGGTTTCTAATCCCTAAATAAGGTTGCCAGTGTCGGAGTGATGGAGGTTAATAGGTACTAATGAATTTGCAAGAAATGTAAGATGTTTATTTTATTGGTTATATATAACCAATAAAAGTTTAATAAGTACCTACCTATTTGCAAAATAAAGTTTAATTCTTTAGATAAAATAAAACGTTTTATTTTATCTGAAATGAGTGCATTCCACGAAGTAAGGGTTTCAACAATCAAACATTTAATTCTTTAATTCCAGGAATCTACGACAGTAATTGACTAGATAATTACCTTCTAAACTTATTCCACAGAAAATGTGATAGTGGGTTTTTTCCATTTTGTAGGTAGGTCCAAGTGGCGTATTCAAAATTCTTAACAGTTCACGAAAAGTAGGTACTTCAGTTGCAAGGTGCAGTTTATTGTGTATACTAGTGTTATGGAAAATTTGGAAGTGCCGTGTAAACGCCGAAAAATTGGTCCTTTAACAGTTAATGAAAAAACATTAATATTTAATTGTTTTAAATCATTTACAGACAAACGTTTATGTGAAAGTGTTGATGAGACCGTTGAGTTAGTTAGCAGTACACTTGGTGTTGGGAAATCTACGATTTACAGAGTTATTAAAGAAGAGAAATGTGGTAGTTTTAAAATGCCACGTAATGCTCCAGGGAAACCAAAATTTCAAATAGAATATCATTTTAAAGAAGGACTTCGACGGAAAGTGCATGAATTCTTCTTTAGACAAGAATTTCCAACATTGGATAAAGTTCTTGTCTCAGTTCGAGATGATAAGGATTACCCTGAAATGAGTCGAAGTACGTTATGGAAACTTTTAAAAGAAATAGGCTTCCGCTGGAAAAAGAATCCCAGAAAGTCTATTTTATTAGAAAGAAGCGATATTGTCATATGGAGAAGACATTTTCTAAGAACCATAAAGGAAATGAGAAACCAAAAAGAAAAATATTTTATCTTGATGAAACATGGATCAACGAGAGTCATACACCAAATAAATTTTGGCAGGATGAAACTGTTACAAGTCAAAGGCACGCTTTTGTAAATAACTTATCTACTGGTTTAAACCCACCATCAGGAAAGGGACGCCGGCTGATAAAAGTACACATTGGCAGTTCAGACGGTTTTGTTGAAGGTGGTTTATTAACTTTTGAATCAACTCGTACCGGTGACTACCATGAAGATATGAACGCTGATGTCTTTCCAGAATGGTTCGAACAAATGATAGATCTTCTTCCTAAGAACTGTGTAATAGTAATGGATAATGCAAGTTATCACTCCAGACTTATAGAAGGACTGCCCACAACCAAGTGGTTAAAAAAAGACTTGCAGAATTGGCTGAGTTCAAAAAATATTACGTACCATCCCGGATCTATAAGAAAGGAACTTTATTCGTTGTGTGCCCTTCATAAAGAAAAATTTTAAAAATACGAAATTGATGAAATTGCCAAAAATCGTGGAATGACAGTACTTAGATCCCCACCATATCATTGTGAATTAAACCCGATTGAACTGGTATGGGCACAGATAAAGAGTGAAATTTCAAGAAAAAATACCACTTTTAAAATTCATGATGTTAAACAGTTGTTTTTGGAGGCCGTAAATAATGTAAAACCTGAAAACTGGGAAAAGGCAGTAAATCACACTAATAAAGAAGAGGAAAACATGTGGAAGCTGGACAATATTACTGATAAAATGATCGAGCCAGTTATTATAAATCTTGGTTCTGAAAGTTCATCTTCTGAATCTGATTTGGATTTGTAACAAGTAGCTGTAAGTTTTATATTAATATTTTTATTCATCTATTTAACATACCTTAGACGGTTTTAAAAACTCTTTTTCTCTTTTGTAATTTTTAAAAATAAAAAAAATGTGAATTTTTTAAAACCCTTTTTAATGTAGGCCAGTCAGTTCTAATACAGCGTGTGATAAAAGAGGTCACTTTTGTTTACATACACATAACACTTTATAACACTGAAATAATTCATTTATTTTTTACAATTATTCAAAGTAATTTTTCAATTAATCTTGAGCACGCCATGGAGTGGTCGGAGGTACCAGTTAAAATTATGCTAATTACTCTCTCGTTCATAAAAATAAACTATAATCAATTTAATTCCTTATTATGTTTCCTGGTTGATCTTGCGGAGAGACCCAAGTATACAAACGTCTTGGTGGTAGTTTGAAGAACGTATTTAGTATTGCAAATTTCTTCTTCTACAAATAGTTTTAATCTTTCTCATCAAAATCACCATTTAATGGCACGAATCTAGGTTTGTAGAACGGGACCAGAGCCGACAACGGACTCCCAGGGTACAGGAGACCCTATATGGGAGCCGTATCAAGTCTATCTTGTGAATTGAAAATGTCCCATATTTATGTTTCGATATGGGCATTTTCAGATCTGTTGGCCAATAGTAAAAATCGTAGATGTTTTGTAGTCCAGGTCTTGGCGTGCGATAACACTATCAGCACTTTCATTATTTACTTTTATGCCCTAGCACCCACAGCAAATTTACTTTGTTGTGCTCTGGCAGTTTCTTAAAGGACTGTTTAAAATCCCTAGCTGTTATCTAGTCATACGTTGTAGAATTCAAAGCCTTTAGTACAGCTTGACTGTCTGAGGCAATAAATATTTTGACTGAATTGAGTCGTTTTTTCAAGTCGATTGCTAAAATCTGCTTGAAATATTGTTTGAGTATTTTCGATAGTTGTTGACAGTCTGGTGTTATGGCAAGTAACCCTTATTCCCATTCCCTCTTGTGTTTTTGACCCTTGAGTATATATATATGGCACCTTTTGTGATTTATACGATTTAGTTTTGAGATATCGCAATAAATCGCAATAATTGCGATATGTAGCATAAAACTAAATATAAAAAGTTTAGGTACACTTGCAAATGTGGCAAGATAAATAATCCGAACCTTTATTTAAATAATTTTTGACGAATTAAACAATTCTTGAATTATCACCTAAACGAATTATTTTTCTTTCAGAATGTCCTCATAAGACGGTTAGATACCGGAAAACTTCAAGGAATTGTAAGCGATTTTGGCCTATCCACCGACATCCCAGATCCAAAAGAAAAAACCAAGCTAGCTATTGTCGGCTCCCCCTACTGGATATCACCTGAAGGTCTCAACGGCAAATATTACGACGAAAGCAGCGACGTCTTCAGCTACGGCATAGTCTTATGCGAGTTGATAGCCCGCGTTGAAGCTGATCCAGATTATTTGCCAAGGACCCATAATTTTGGAGTGGACTACCTCGCTTTTTCGGACCTGTGCGGACCGAATGTTGTACCTGAATTTTTAACATTAGCATTTAGGTGAGATTTTCAACAAACTTACCTTGTCTTACTTATTTATAAACCTCGTATATTTAGTATAACTTATAGTAAATATTTAGGTAGAAAACTAAATATGATTTAGTAATATTATTAACATCAATTAGTAGACTGTTTAAAGAGTCCCATAAATGACAAAAACCAAACCATTTTTTAATGTTAACTCAATATTTGTCGTAACTGTAAAGCAGTCCATATCTGGCACGTACACATACTGCAAGCGAGATATCGGCATGGCTCTGACTTAAATAGCCTTTCGTGTTTATTAATGCTATTCCTTTTCTAAGAAAGGTAAAAGATTTTTGAACGTTTGAACATCTGGAAATACGAATATACCGTGGAATTTTTAATTTTGTTATTCCTGTCACTTTTTGGTACCAACTTATTTTCTCTAAACCGTCGTTTTATTTATTTGATTCGTGTTCTTCTGTCTGGTGGTCTGATAAGTAACCTCCTTCGGCGGTTAAGACGCTGCGTTCTAAAAAATAAACAGTTATAGAAAGTTCAACTTTTTTTAGGTTTGCATGTAAAATGTTAGCACCATTAGTATGTTTTTGAAAGCAGCATGAAGTTAACGTTATTGAAATTATTTTAGCTGAACATAAATTGAAGGCGCGTGGATTGGCAGTGACCACAAAAGTTAGTACAGTATGCACTAGTCATATTTTGAACGACGTCTTGGATATGAAGAAATGATCCTGCCTATGGGCACCGCGTTTGCTGACCACTGATCAAAATTCACCTAAGAAGTCAACAGAATATACTCAAAACCAGACGTTACCTAGAGAGAAAATAGAACAAACAATGGTAAAACCAAAAAATCGAAAAACACTAGGACTGCCTCTTGATGGACGACCTCTGTTTCGGTAGGCATCATCTCTTGGTCTCTATTCCAGTATCCCCTTTGTCCATCTGTTATCTGTCATTCAAGCCACGTGGCCAGCCCAGTTACACTTCAGTGTTGCGATTCTCTCTTTTCTCTTCTAACATCATTTTCATAAGAGCAACAATAAGCTGGCCAACAAGATACCAGTCTCAATAAGAATTTGGCAAGGGAATCGTCGCGAATAGTCTTCTTTAACGTTCTTATGGATCATATCATCGGGAAGAGGATATAGATTGGACCATAAAGAATTTAAGATAAATTGCTATGTTGTTGATGCGGTGACATCTGAAGATGAGGACAATCTAGAGAGACTAATGTACAGGTTTAAAATGGTAGCAAAATGATCATCTCTATGTGGAAACCGAAGTCTATGATAGACGGAGTTCCAGAAGATGTAAGTTAGTAATTTATGATAAAAATCTGGAGCAAATAATGTCTTTTAAATATATAGGAGCTAATATTACTAGCAATAGAAATCTAAAACAAGAAATACAAATACAAGCGATACCAGCAGCTAAAATATTAGCTGTTCTCTGGAATGTAATATAGAGAAACAAATATATGAGCATCGAACACAAGACACAAATTTAAAAACCTGTGTAAGGCCAATTATTGCAGCAGAGTATGGGACACTTAAGACCGACAGTGTAATTTCATTGCTGGTAAGCGTTGAATCTGCATTACCGGCTAAGCATGAACCTTAGCCAAGACCGAAACCATTTGTTAACTGTCAATTATTCTTCTTTTCGGTCCCTGATGATAATAGACTTGGAAATATTGCACAGGAACCAGAGCAGACCACTCAGAAGGTCTCCCAAACGCTGGTATGAAAGTTGGACATCGGAATCCAAACAGGCTACAACTTTGAAAAGACCAGGCATTATCTTAAAATAATAAGAATAATATGATCGTATGACTCCTTCTCAGCAGTGATTAAACAATATGGAGCGCAACCCGTCGGACTTTTGGCATCGATTGGTAACCGTGATAAAACATGGATCCACTCCAAAACACCAAAGAACAGAATGAACGCATGGCAGTGGACTGAAGGCGGCAAAAGTGCTCCGAAGCTGCCAAGAGTAGTTCAATAGGTAATGAAGGTTATAGCCACTGTAGTTTGGAATTGCAAAGAGATAATTTTAATTCACTATCTTAAAAAAGGTAAAACTATCAATAGCCAACATTATTGTGCATTTTGGACAAATTAAAGTAGGAACTCTGTGAGAAACTGAGAAACGGATCCGTATACAGAAGAAACAATTATTAAAAAAAACTGAGTTACCAGCTGGAGCCCGTTTGAAGAGGTTTACTCTCCGATCACTGGAACTCATCTAAGACATGGGTTTGTGTTACCTGAAGTCAAATTTAATTTAATATCAAACATCAAATGTGATTAACAACATTATGTACAATCTTTTGTAACCATACGTAATTTAAAGGGTTGTTACCCTGATATTTTGGTGGCTCAGGCATGTTAATTTGCCATTTTAAACCTGATGATGGAATTATTATTCCGAAAACGTTCGTGTAATTGACGTACCCCTTTTAAGGGTTTTTAAATATACCTATTTACAAAGATCTAACATCTTTTTTTGTGATACGTGGTATACAGCCAGCTGCAGGAATTATTTTCCTTGTGGATTATAAAAAAAATTATTGTTTTCCCAAGACAATGCACCGGTAACAATAAATTGGGCTTTGGACGGAATTGAATTTCTCATCCAGCTTATTCTCCTGAGTTGGTCCCCTTCGATTATTATCTGTTTCCAAATATAAATAGATGGCTCGTAAATTAGGTCGAATCAAGAGGTAATTGACGAAAAAAACGCAGCTGAAAAATCACTGAAATCGTTGTATTAATCTATAAGGAGACTATATCGGATAAAATGAAAAACATTTCCTAAAAAAACCTGTTTTTTTAATTCAAAAGAGGTTACTTATCAGACCAGCTAGTATTTTGTATCGTTTGCTCTTAGTTGATTTTTCGTGAGATCGATCAAGTAAATAGGTATTTACATTTTATCAGACATAAAAAATTATATCTGTAATAAAATATCATAATAATTGTAGCTTTTTGTTACAAATCAATAGAATGTTTTGAGTCATCTTAGTGATTCATCTAATACTATTAAAAATCACTGCAAATTAATTTTTCAAAAGAATTTTTGACGTAATCAACTTTTCAATTTATCTTTTCTTATATTAGCAGAATATGATATATTCTTCATTATAGCAAAATTAACGAGTAATCTAAAATAACGGAATTAGAGAGGGCCTTAGAATAAACCTTCCTTTCTTTGGATTGTAAGTCCATATTTTTTAAATCCTCTGTCTAATCGGATTGCCTCTAATATAGACCTTTCCTAATTCTCGCCATTCATCTCTGTTTGTAAGACGTTTCCACATTGGCCCTGCAGTTCTTTTAATATCGTCGCTGCAGCGCATTTGCGGTCTTCCTCGTGGTCTTTTGGCTTCATATAGCCGCCAATTCCTGATTTCTTTATTCCATCGGCCATCCTTAAGACCTTCGTTGTGTCCAGCCCATTTCTATTTCAGTTTAGCTGCCTGTTCGATAGCATCTTTTACTTTTGTTATATTACGAATGTCTTTGAGTGAGATACCCACCATCTGTCGTTCCATAGCTCTCTGAGTTTTTCTGATCTACTGAAAACTAGGTTTTTAAACCTAAACGACCTTGGAGAATGGTCGGTTTGAAACAACAACCAATTTTTTCCATTTACAAGGAATCCAGTGGCGTATTCAGGTCAGATTGTCCAAAAAGTGAAGATTGGTTGTTTTGCAAGTAGAGGTCTCATATATAGAAGTAATATTCGTTAATAATTGCTGTTGAATACCATTTTTACTTAATTTTCCCAAAAAGTTTGTTCAAAATATAGGCTATCCGAGGTTTACGCTTGTCGCTCACTTATGCACTGCAACGCGAAGCGCGCCGAACAGAATTTCGTCGCCTAGGATTTTACGGTTGCGATCCGTGTGCCTTCTGTTCGCTGTGCAGCGCGTTGCTTTGCACAGATACGCGCGAGTATATTTAACTACATGATGAAAATTCATAACAACCTTTTTCTCCGCGCTTCGCGTTGCAGTGCATAAGTGAGCGACAAGCTTTACATTGACAATCTCAAGTAACCAATACCATGCAAGTGATTTTGTGGCGTTCTTAAATTACTATTTTTTCGATTACTCTAAATTTTGGTATTTTTGGCCATTTTAGTACTGTTGGTAACATTTTAAAGGGTAATTTAAAAAATATGCCTATCAATTCATTTTTTATGATTCTAGGTGTTGTTCTGTTGAACCAAAAAGTCGTCCCACCTTTACCGAAAATGTTCAAGCCCTCGCCGATATTCTGAAGGATATGAAGTTGGCCAAAGAAAAACAACAACGTATGGCGAATTGTGCAGCTAAAAGCGAAGAGCAGCTTCCGGTATTGGCCGTCCAGGCAAACGCCCCACAGCATCGAAAAAGTAAGTATGGAATTACAACTATAAATCATTTTGTAGGAGTCTTGTTATTATATTAAATAAATTATTAAAATTTCGTTCACCACCGATACTAATTAACTAAAACAAAAGCAATTATTAATATTTTATTAGCATATCGACCTTTAATTTAATCTTTTCAAGTATTTTCGATATTTGGGTCATCAGCGACCTAAAAATAAATTCTCTTCCTAAGATATTTCTAAAAATTTTTCATCACTTTTTTAAATGTGATGGTGACAATAAAGACAAACCATTTTTGTTCGAAATCTATGTAAATATAAAGGTATACAATATTTTATCACTTTTATATCTTGTTTTTGACTCTTAAGATTGCTTACCAGTGCAGTTAGGCTTTAAAGATTTGGTACAAATAGAATTAATTAAGAAATAGTCCTGGGCAATAAGATTTCTCTCGTGACACTAACCCCCCAGGCAAACGACAGTTGTTTTGAGTAATATGGACCTCTATAACAAGAATCTATATCTTTCCTGCAATCGATTTGTTGGACTTCAGTGATTATTAACAAATTAAGATCAAAAAACGGATCAAAAAAAAAATTTACTTGTTTCGTCTATCAGCGAAAAGTGAAACTATCGTATCGTTATCAAATTCTATTGTAAAAGTCCCCATTTAACTCTTTCATAAAGATAAAATTCTAAAATACCACGTTTTTTTATCCTTTTCGCACTTTTTTTACCTTACCTCAAAATCAGATAGTTGTAGATGTATGCTTTTCCATCTATTTTCTTACGGGCTATGAATCATCGTTGTTAAAATAATCATTTTTAACTTAAATTAAAATAATTCTCAAATTGCGAAAAAATGGTGTTTTTCTAATATTCTCCCACTTTATTGGCCCATAACCTTAAGATCTAGTAGCTAAATGATCGAATTTCCGCGTATTTTTGATCGCAACCTTCAATTTTGTTATACCACTTGTCTTTTTTTCTTAAATAGTCAAAACTTGAAAAAAAAAACATTAGCTACCACTACTATTTAAAATTTGGCCAAAAATTATTAACATAACCTATAGTTTATTTTTATGAACGAGAGAGTAATTAGCATAATTTTAACTGGTACCTTCGACCTCTCCATGGGCGTGCTCAAGATTAATTGAAAAATTACTTTGAATAATTTTAAAAAATAAATGAATTATTTCAGTGTTGTAAAGTGTTATGTGTATGTAAGCAAAAGTGACCTCTTTTATCACACACTGTATTAGAACTGACTGGCCTACATTAAAAAGAGTGTTAAAAAATTCACATTTTTTTTTAATTTTTAAAAATTACAAAAGAGAAAAAGAGTTTTTAAAACCGTCTAAGGTATGTTAAATAGATGAATAAAAATATTAATATAAAACTTACAGCTACTTGTTACAAATCCAAATCAGATTCAGAAGATGAACTTTCAGAACCAAGATTTATAATAAATGGCTCGATCATTTTATCAGTAATATTGTCCAGCTTCCACATTTTTTCCTCTTCTTTAATAGTGTGATTTACTGCTTTTTCCCAGTTTTCAGGTTTTACATTATTTACGGTCTCCAAAAACAACTGTTTAACATCATGAATTTTAAAAGTGGTATTTTTTCTTGAAACTTCACTCTTTATCTGTGCCCATACCAGTTCAATCGGGTTTAATTCACAATGATATGGTGGGGATCTAAGTACTGACATTCCACGATTTTTGGAAATTTCATCAATTTCGTATTTTTAAAATTTTTCTTTATGAGGGCACACAACGAATAAAGTTCCTTTCTTATAGATCCGGGATGGTACGTAATATTTTTTGAACTCACCAATTCTGCAAGTCTTTTTTTAACCACTTGGTTGTGGGCAGTTCTTCTATAAGTCTGGAGTGATAACTTGCATTATCCATTACTATTACACAGTTCTTAGGAAGAAGATCTATCATTTGTTCGAACCATTCTTGAAAGACATCAGCGTTCATGTCTTCATGGTAGTCACCGGTACGAGTTGATTCAAAAGGTAATAAACCACCTTCAACAAAACCGTCTGAACTGCTAATGTGTACTATTGTGACGTCTTTTTATTGCTCTAATTTATTTGTCTTTATTCTAATTTATTGTCTATATTCTAATTTATTAAAACTCACGATAACTAATTACGAATTTATTAAAGTCTTTATTAATTCTAATTTATATTACAAATGTATTTATTTCACGTTTCGTTACATTTAAATATCGCGTTTACCGATCTTCTTATGACTGACTCCAAATAAAAAATCTTTGGTTTATATACACAACTGTTGCCATCCAGATTATTCGGCGGACTTCTTGAATAATCTCGTATTTTGGTGAAGGCGCTCGACTCGTTTTTCAACCTCGAGACGTGGATGACTCACTAAAATTAGTGTCTAGAGATTTCTGTAAACAACTGGTAGCGAAGCTCAGGTATATTTTGACCTACAAATTACGAGAATCAATAAAAAAGAATTAGTCATAAAATATTTACAGTTCTATATGCCATAACATTTAAAATCGTAACATTGCCCCCCTCTTAAAAGATGGTTCCTCCTGGAACCTTGTCGGGACTGGAACTTGAACGACATGCTGATATCGGCAACTGGACCCTCTTTTACAACTTCCAGTTGTATAGAAATGACAAGGGACGGTTTTCTCTCCGCAGCAGTAACTATGCGGATTGCAACAGACTAACACCTGGACTTCGGTGTCTTTAAAGATTTCCTCCACCATGTTTCGTATAACCCTCCAATCTAATTGGCGGCACTCCAACTTTGGCATGGCTAACTTTTGCACGTCGGACTCTAGTACGTGCTCTCTCAACTGAAGTAAGGCTTCCCATACATCTCGGTAGGTAGGTTGGTCACGGGCAGTGTCTTTTGTTACCAGGTAGAAAAGGTAACGTGATGCATCTTGAAGTTTCAAGGTTTTACCAGGAGCTGGCACTTGGCATTGAAGTTCTGCAACTCGACCAAACTTCCTTCGAAAGACGGATGCCAACCCTGGTGCATCTTTGATACTGGCCGGGATGGTAAGGGCCAGTGAGTAGTTATCGGGAAGCGCGAGTAGATCTTGCCTTTCTTCAGTGGTAACACCATGTCTTGCTTTACCGGTACCTCCATAGGCATCCATGAATTCCTCAAACGTGAGGTCAGACACATCTTGGACTTGGTTTACTTCCACTTCTTCATCTACGTCGTGGTCACCCTCGAAAGACGCCAACCGGTTATGGTGTACTATCATCGGCTTTCCTCTCGGAATCTTGCTTATTCGGTAAATAACATCATTGATCTTCTCCATAATGAGGTATGGACCTTCCCAAAACTGCTGCAATTTGGGAGAACAACCTTTTCGCTTTTTGGGGTTATAAAGCCAGACTTTATCGTTCTTCTTAAAACACCCCTTTTCGGCTTGTGTATCGTACCGTTTCTTCATTCGGTCACTAGCAATTTGGAGATGGGAACGGACCAACTCGTGTACATCGTCCATTCTTCTTCGTAATTCGATCACATAATCTTCACCTGCTACATCTTCTCCAGGTCGACACCCAAACTCTAGATCACAAGGTAGTCGCATCTCGCGTCCGAATAGGACTCTGGCTGGTGTCTGGCCTGTTGATTCATTAACAGCAGATCTGTAGGCCATTGTGAAGAACGGAAGATATTGGTCCCAGTCTCGCTGATGATCGGATACCATCTTTGTCAAATACTTGCCAACTGTTCTATTCATTCGTTCTACCATACCATCCGATTGCGGATGATAAGCCGTAGTTCTTGTTTTCTTCATACCTAGTCTATCACATATTCCTTGGAATAAATCGCTTTCGAAGTTCCTGCCTTGGTCACTATGGATCTCCAAAGGCACTCCAAATCGGCTGATATATTCTTGGATCAACTTATCTGCAACGGTGGCGGCCTTCTGGTCTGGAAGTGCGTAAATCTCGACCCACTTAGTGAAGTAATCCATTACTACCAACATGTACTTGCCTCCATTATCACTTTCTGGAAATGGCCCAGCAATGTCCAAAGCTATTCTTTCAAACGGGCTTCCAACATTATATTGTCTCATAGGAGCTCTCCTTTTTCGATAAGGCCCGTTACTCGTAGCACAAATAGTACATTTCTTACACCAGTCTTTTACATCGTCGGAACTGTTCATCCAATAAAACCGTTCCCGAATTCGCTGAAGGGTCTTTTTCACACCAAAATGCCCTCCTGATGGACTGTCGTGTAACTGACGAAGTACTTCGGCTATTCTGCTCTTTGGAATCACCAACTGTCTTCTCTTCTCTGAACCGTCATCATTTTCCAGGACTCGTTTGAGCAAGCCATCTTCCATGATAAATGAGTCCCACTGGGCCCAATACGTCTTAACTATTGAGCCTAGGTTCGATATTTCTTGCCAAGGTGGTCGACGGTTTTCTTCTTTCCATTTTCGGATTTTCTGTATAACTGGATCTCTCTCTTGTTCTTCCCTGATCTTGGTAGGCGTCCAGTCGTCGTGGACCACCGTCGTTCTTAGCACTGCTGCTTCCTTGGATTCCGTTTTGTTGCAGTGAGAACACTCTGCTGGGCATGGCCTTCTGGAAAGAGAATCAGCGTTTCGGTGGCTAACTCCGGCCCGGTGCTCAATCTTAAAATCATATTCTTGGAGTCGTTCGATCCACCTGGCTATCTGACCCTCTGGATTCTTAAACTGCATCAACCACTTAAGGGCGGCATGGTCGGTTCGGATTAAAAACTTCCTTCCATAGAGGTATTGATAGAAGTGCTCTACTGATTTCACTACTGCCAGAAGTTCTCTTCTCGTGACGCAATAATTCCGCTCAGGTTTTGAGAGAACTTTACTGAAATATCCAAGGACTCTTTCCTGTCCTCCCTGAATCTGGGACAGCACTCCTCCAATTCCCACATTACTTGCATCTGTATCTAAGATGAACTCTCCTTCTGGCAGTGGATACCCTAAAATCGGTGCTGTGATTAAATGCTTTTTTAAGGTCTCAAAGGCATTTTGGCAGTCTACATCCCAGCGGTATTCTCTTGCTTCCTCTGTAAGTCGCGTTAATGGTTTAGCGATATCTGCAAACTTCTTAATAAACCTCCGGTAATAAGTACATAGTCCAAGAAAACTTCTCACTTGATGTTTGTCAGTTGGTTTTGGCCATTCCTTAATGGAATCGATTTTTCCCTTATCCACGGCCACTCCTTCTTTACTGACTATATGACCCAGATAATTGACTTTACCTTGAAATAGCTGGCACTTCTTGGGGTTTAACATCAATTGGGCAGCTTTAAGTCGATTAAAAACGTTTTCTAAATTCTTCAGATGGTCCTCAAATGTCTCCCCCAAGACGATTATGTCGTCTAGATAAACTAGGCACGTTTTCCAAGATAACCCTCTCAACACATTTTCCATAAGTCTCTCAAATGTCGCAGGAGCGTTACAAAGTCCAAATGGCATAACGTTGAATTGCCATAATCCAGATCCTGTGGTGAAGGCTGTCTTTTCTTTATCTACCGGGTCCATTTCTACCTGCCAGTATCCAGACTTCAAATCCAAAGTAGAAAATAATTTACTTCCAGCCAATGTGTCTAATGTGTCATCAATCCGAGGCAGAGGATAACTGTCTTTCTTGGTAACGTTGTTCAGCAAACGGTAATCCACACAGAACCTCGTTGTTCCGTCTTTCTTCTTAACCAGGACTACCGGAGAGACCCATGGGCTCGTAGAAGGTTCTATCACCCCGTCTTTCTTCATTTCCTGAACAATCGTTTCAGCTTCCTCTCTTTTCGCCTGTGGTAATCGTCGAGCTGTTTGACGAATTGGCTTAGCATTACCAGTATCAATTCTATGCTTAACAACGGTAGTTCTTCCCGTCTTTCCTCCTTTCGGTACGAAAATATCACGATACTGCCGAAGAAATTCCCTTAATTTCCTTTTCTCAATCTGATTCAGAGACTGTCCAGCAACTGCAACCATTTGATCAAATTTGTCGTTGGAATTATCAGACGTTGTCGTCTGACGGATTATGGATGTCACAGGTACACAAGTTCCTACTTTTGTCTCTTTCTTGATGGTCACTGGGTAGTCATTGACATTGATAAGTCTAACAGGAATTTCTTTAGCCGAGGTCACCAATTCCTTTCCAATTATGATTCCACGGCCAACTTCGTCGTCATGGTTCCAAGGCTCCATCACTTAAAAAAAACTAAAACAGGGAATGGTTAAAAAGTTATTCTGGTTGTTTAAAAGAAAAAAATCGACGTGTTTTTCAAAATGATTTTGCAATATTTAAAATTGTTTTTTTGTCATTTTTTTTTTATTGAAAAAATAAATCTCCTTTCATGAGCTACCCGTAAGTTTACTGTAACTTCATTATTTTCTGACATTACATTGTGCTAATAACCTTTATTAAACTATTGGACCGATTTTAAGAACTAAAAGACCCAACATTCCATGAAATATGAAGGTTTTAAGCTCATTTTACCGCCTGTTGACCTTAATTTGTTAATAACTAATTCAAAAATCAACAGGACACATATAAGCTATTGTGATAGAGGTCCATACAACTCAAAACAACTTTCGTTTGCCTGGCGGGGTCAGTATCACAAACAGGCTACTTTTTTTTCTTATTTTGCGAAACTAAAATGCGGAAGTACTTGTATATGTTACGTAAAAAAAATTCTATGCTTTTTTTTATTTATTTATCATTATTTTATATGTAGTTAACAGCATTGTAGTCTAATCGATAAATTTTAATTGTTGTTTCAGTCGTCCACCGACGATCTCTTTCGGAGGACACATCAGTGTGGTCTCTTTCAATGTTTGCGACACCAAGTGACAAGGCCCGTCGGCACGCTTTACTCATGTGTCGTCAGGATCCGCACTACAAACCTAGCACTACTAATCCATTCGCAGGTCTAGCGCAGTTCCAGGGCGTTAAAAAGTTACTTGGCAATTTTTCTTCCTGTTGTGAAATGCCTTGTCCTTTTGTGGAATCTAAAGACAGTCCGAAATCCCTTCCGGGATCACCTACGGCATCGAGGAAAGCACATACAATACGGTCTCCTCTTTTTGTCCATCCCCTGTATAAAGGCGGATCTAGTTCAAATTTATCTGAATTTACAACCGAATCGGTTACTGGGTTTCTGAGACGTCGAGGATCTTGTGAATCGGGGTTCTACTCGAGCGTAGGAGAATGTCTATCACCTAATAGTATGTGGGGTGACAGTGGCACTGCTGTTAGCTCCCTCAGATCGCTAGACGAACTGGAACACGCCGAATTGCAAGCCTTATGTAAGCGAGCCTCATCTATATACACGGACAGTAGTGAAGATATATCTAGTTTAACTAGTTCCGATTGGCCAAACGATCTTAAACCCAACATACAGTCTATAGTTGAGTATTTCGAGCGTAAAGGAGCAACATTACGACATCCTGGCGGTGTCAGAGGTGGCCTACAATTAAGTTCGAGAATAGCTAACTTAAGAAGATCTTTGGAAAAACACAATATGGGTTCTACGAGCAGTGGGACCCACGTGACGCTGCAGAGGCCAAAATGTTCCAGGTTGGTTATATGTGAAGGGGCAGTTAGATCTAAGTTGCCGTTGTTTGATAAAAAGTAAGCCAGGTTTTAGGTATTTCAGCGCATTTCTGGAAACGTGACAATCATCAGTCTGTATATCAAACTATACTGTTCAAAATTAACAAATCGTGAAAATGTAAAAATTATAGAAAAAACTTATTGTTCAATGTCGTCTTTTATAATCGTATCATCCCTTTTTCTTGATCTCGATGGTTTTTGTAGTTCCAATACATAATAAAACAACTTTATTTTTTTATTTTGTTGTTTTTGTGAAAATATATAAATATCATGTTAAGATTTGTTTTTAACGTTCTTACAAGTCACTACTTGTATACCAAATTTTTTAATTCTACTCAACAGAATATCCAGAGTAGCAAAATTTTACGATAACTACAAAACACGTTTATGATTTGAAAAGTTGTCGGCCTAATATAAATAAATTTCATTCACCGATATTCTAATACCGTTGTACCTTCCCTGTAATGTTCCTCTGAAAGTAGTACTTCAAACTATCCATCTAAAACAACTGCAATGTTTGTTTTTGCAAATGCAGTTTTAAGAATAGGTTGAAATCCGAGAGAACCTAATCTGCTCTAGCACACTTTATAGTGCATATTCCCTTAATTCCTTTGCTTCTAGAACACTTTTGTGGACATTGTGGTGTTGAAAAAGGATATCTTCTTCTTTTAAGTTCAATATACTTCTGGCTACTGAGGAAAACCTCCAGTTTTGAGAATAAATGGAAATGCGGAGGAATCAAATCTGCTTCAGCATACTTTATAGTACAGATCACTCAATTTATTTGCTTCTAAAACACTTTTTGTTGACAGTGTGATGTTAGAAAATGACTTTTTCTTCTTTTATGAAGAAAAGATTTTTTTTTTAGATTTTTTAGATTTAAAAGAAAGACTTTTAAGATTTAAAAATTCGAAGGAATCAAATCTGCGACAGCATACTTTTATAGTGTAGATCACTCAATTTTTTTCTTCTAAAAAATTTTTCGTGGGCAGTGTGCTGTTGCAAAATACTTTTTCTTCCTTAAGTTAGATATACCGCTAACCACCGAAGATCTTCAGTTTTGAGACTAGATGGAAATCCGAGGACAAATCTGCTCCAGCACACTCCGTGGTGCATTTCTATTTCTCCGCTATTCTCACCCGCGTTTGTCACCCAGCTTCTTCCTAACCTTATTTCTAGCTGGAGAACTGGCTTATTTTACTATCTAGGCTATTGTTTGGTTTTGGGTGTGTAGCTGAATCGAAGGACCGTCCATTTTAATGCATCGACACACTTAATTTTTCTTAAAAGGCGCCAAACTTTTCTGAAAGTGTCATACGTGTGCATTAACAGTATTACACAATGGTATAAAAAATTAAAGTTGAAGGAAGAATCACTATACATATTTACTTGGTGCAAATGAATTTCAGTCGCTTTTCCACGCTTCAAATGGCTTGCCTTCGTACGAGTAGTGTTGTGCTCTTGGGTAAGGCCGAGAACTTATCAGAATACATTAATATATCATGGGTCTACAGCTGTAGCTCGATAAAAGTACAGCTTGATTTTAATTTAAAAATAAATTGTCACGTTTCTAGAAACCGTTCTCCTTTTACTTTTCTTCTAGTCAGATGGTATCTAAAATTTGGAGGCCTAAGTGATGATCCATTTTGAAAGAGTTTATATTTTTTACGAGACTGTACATAATTCTGGGGGAATTACTCGTTTTTAATTTTCTTTTTAATCAGATGTATTGGACTATCAGTTGTAATAGCAGTATTTTTTTATTAATTTTGGTTGTATAACTAGTTGTGTATTGAATTAAAAATAAAAATGTTACAAAATGTTCCAAAATATTTTATTGAAATCTTTTTTTTATTGATTAATGTTGATTAGGTGCAGGATATTAGAAGATATCGGTTCGAGTAAACTGATTGCTTCAGTATAAAAAATTTCAACGTTGGAATTTGTCAATTTCTCCAGTAATATATCCATGTAAACCCTGCGGTAGAATATGGCAGTTAATTAAGCTATTATAACAAAAACCAATCCGTCAGTTGTTACCCTAAAATTAAAATTTTTAATAGCGTATAAATAATATCGCTTTCCATTAGGAAAAATGTCGAGATCAATCGAGTGAGTACAAACCATTAGACCTTAACTAATATTTGTCTGTTTCAAATGTTTAAGGATAAGGCTTATAGTGTAGTGTATGTAGTAGGCTGATATTCTCGTGTTTCTTCTTGTTAATGTGTCGTGTTCTTCATATGATATGTGCAATTAAAATTTTCTCTGTTGCTGAGCTGAGTATGTTGTTGAGGAGTTGTCTGCCTCGTGGCTACGTTTTCCATGATTTTTTCTATATAATACTGTGCATAGAGACGCTTATAGAAGGTTATTTCTTACGGAAACGATATTCTTTTAAAACATAAACGGCAAGATTACTACTACCTACTATTATGGTACTTTTGGTCTCTCCCTTAAGTCTTGACCCCTTGGAAGGAATGTAGTGGTCGTCGTGATATAGTGTATGGTCCGTTTCCATAGACTTCTGTCTCTGGTCATTTCTCCTACATCGTGCTTATATTTCTTCTACATCGTCTTTTGCAACCTTCTGTGATCTAATCCATCTTGTTGAAGATCTTCCTCGTGGTTTTCGGCCTTTACCTTCTCTCGAATGATGATTCTCTCCATATTGTATATATCTCACCTCATGATATGACCAAAATATTTTAATTGCTGCTTTTTGGAGTCCCTTATTGATCTTTACTTCTTTTAGAATATAATTATTTGTTCTAAGAGCGATCCATAGAAGTCGCAACATTCTTCTCCAGCAGAACATTCCAGTGGCGTCTATCCTTCTCCTTTCAGATTGCCTTAGTGTCCAAGTTTCGCATCCATGTCAGTACTGGAAATAATAAGAAGTTGACCAATCACATTTTTGGGAAATATTGGGATCTGTTCATATATTGGTCAGTTTTTTGGTCTAGTTGGCAATGGCGATCTATTACCGATATTTTGCTCTATTTGGTCTTCCTAATAGCTGTATTTTCTGGATCTTATCTACGTTTTATCTCTTCCTGGAGAGTCACACACATTAACAGTTTGATATGACAATTGTGGACATACAATGTAGATATTGAAGGTGAAAATGACGTACTATACATATTTTTGTATTATGTCTAATTAGACTTGGATAGTTTGCTTCAAGGAGAACAGATACTGCTGAAAATTGGTCTAAGTGGTACATTAGTACTCTAAAAAAAATGGCGTACCTTTACTAGATTTATGTAGATGAGTGACTGTTTAAGGCTTTTTAAAGCCTCGTCAAAGAATAAAATCCTGGAGTGGATGCGATTGAGAAAAACGATTTCTACAAATTAAACAATCTGTAAAGATGAGGTGTCCTGCTGTAACCCTTAAACTTGAATAGTTCTGTGTAATTTTTAAAAAGTTTAGTTGGGTCCTTCTGTAGTTTTGTGTATGATCCATTTATGATTGATTCCCAAAAAATTTAAAGATGTATTTTCCTCAATAATTTCAATGGGCCAATATGTAGGTTGTCAGGGCTATTTTCGTGATAAAGAACTTTTTGCCAGCAATATCTCAATTCTCACATATTCTCAGTATAGTTGCTTGATTTTTATTTATGAAATACTTTCTTCGTGGTAAAATTGTTCTTAAGAGATTTTATGATCTTTACAATAATTTTGTGGTAGGTTTCAGTTAAAATAACCTCGATATATCTGTTAGACTACTACTCAAAAAATATAAGAGTATTCCCATTCTTTAATCGTAGAAACGGCTCTAGAGAAAACGGAGATATTGGTTACTCTCAATTTTTTCATGCAAGCTGAAAGCCAGTACATTTTGTATCTTAAGCTGAAGTAATTTTATATGTACTAACTTCCTACTTTCTTCATTATCACGTCCTTCACAGAATATGAGGATGAGTTATTCCTGTCTTTAAGTATGTAGTTGTGCGCTTCTCATGTAAACTTGCCCTAAGCCATCGCTTAGGCAACACTTTTCACTCGGTGCCTTTCATCCCATGAAAAAAATAGCGTTACAAATCGGGATGGAGAGCGCGCAGAAATTGCAGATCAAATCTCTTAGTCAGTTGTAGTATAGCTGTCTATATTTGTTGATTGAGCATGATATAAATGTGCATGTGTATTTTTTGTTTGGGTGAAACGACCTTATCAGTGAGTGTGTGATATGTTTAATCAAAAAATTTATAGTTAATGACATAGCTGCAACCCTTGTCATTTTCTCAACTTATTCACGTGTCTTACGATCTTATATACCCCTAGGACGTTCGTTATTAGCCATTGGGATACCCGTATTTGAGATGAGGACTTCCCACACAGTCTGTTCTGCGTGAACTCACAGTATTAGACCAGCATAGAGCATAAAAAAAAATTTTAACTTGGAAAGTTTCAATGTTTTTCAGGTTCTCACTTGACAGCCTGTACTAGGATGTGTAGTTGCATTGCACATATTATGATTATACACAAGGTATTCTGTGTTTCGCAAGATTGATCATTTTTCTTTAAATGTCAATATTTTTGCGGACTTTTGTGTAAGTTAGAGTTATGCTTAATTTAAATAAATACGCGAACATTTCATACTACAGCCTTAATCGTTTTCTAAAAAAATTTTCGCATGAAATTTATTCTTAAATGCTCAGTCTCAGCCAACTACACCGACAATATCTACGCTGCAGCTGATTTCATGACACATGTCAAACTGTAGGAATAAATCGGTCATATCTTTTAATGGCGCCACCTATTGGTCGTAATTTAACTCCGTACATTGTCTATCATTAGATAATGCACTTTTCTGTCGCCCTGAATCACTCCATTTTGGAACAATTTGTACGCTTTAAGTTTTAAATAGTCAATTGGTGCTCTACCAAAATAATATTATAAAAACAAGTATTATGAGAACATATTTGTTTAAATCAAAGGTGTACAAATATATATAGCAACAAGTAGATATGGTATGTAGAATTATTTAATTGTGATGTGCACCTTTGATTCTTCT